GATAGATGGATGGGTGGATGGGTGGATGGATGGGTGGTTGGATGAGTGGATGGATGGATGGATGGGTGGATGGATGTGTGGATGAGTGGATGGATGGATGGGTGGAAGGATGGGTGGATGAGTGGATGGATGGATGGGTGGAAGGATGGGTGGGTGGGTGGATGGGTGGATGGGTAGGTGGTTGGATGAGTTGATGAATGTGTGGGTGGATGGATGGGTGGATGGATGTGTGGATGAGTGGATGGATGGATGGGTGGAAGGATGGGTGGGTGGGTGGATGGGTGGATGGGTGAGTGGGTGGGTGGAAGGACAGTTTTGTTCTTTCCCAGAAGAGGAGACTAAATTAAGGTGACTGGGTCTTATCCAGAGCACTTTTATTTTCCTATGTGCCTCTTTTTGGCTGTCTCTGGTCATGGATTTTGAGTAGTAGCAGTCAGTATTATTTATGAAATGTGAAGGGATTTGAACCATTGAACAGTTTGATTTTCTTCTTTTCACTGTTGAATTTCTGATTCAGAATTAAGCAGATACATCTTAGGGATGGAGAGGAAGAGTAGAACTTTCTGAGTGTGGTCCTTCCCCACCCCATTCCTGTGCACGTGGTTTCCTGTCGACCTCTAACCCCAGGCGGCAGGAGCCTCTGCACTCTAAATGCATGGGATGTGGAGCTGGCCACTTGGTCTGTTGCCGTCTGTGTCCTCAGCTCCTTTAGGAGAGGCCCCTACACGGAACAGCCTGGTAGCGCTTCGGAAGACCTGGAGGCCTGACACAATGCCAGGGAGAATCTCCTTTGGCCCTGGGTAGATTCTGAGACCAGTTTTCTGTGGTGGAAGCAAGTTTATACACACGCACACATGCGTGCGTGCACACGCACACACACAACTGTGTACATGATATGTTACAGGTGTGCTTGTGCAAAGGAAGATGTATTATGTGTGCATGTGAGCCGGTTGTGTCAGTTTACGCATGTGCCTGCGCACCATCTGACTCGGGAGGGCTGCAACGATAAATCTATGCCCTGTGTGCCGTGTGCCTACTCTCACTGACAGGCTTGTGCTAATGAGGAAAATTGGGGCGGGAAGCGGCTGCGGGCTGGGAATCAGCTCTTGTTTACAGCTGCGTCCTGAGCCGCTGGGCTGTCTGTGAATGTGGGTTTCATGGGAGTCTGGGAGGAGACTGTCTCTCTTGGTGGATGCATCAGGACCCAGACCTGGGCACACCCAGCCTGGATGGTCCCCGACCCACCTGCTCCATCGGGAGAGTGCGCACAGCAGGTCCTTGCAGCTCCGTGCATGGAAAGCATGGAGGAGGGGGCTGTCAGGGGCAGCGTCCCAGCGAGGTGACACAGAGGAGTGGCCACTGTGATTCCTGGGGGTGGGAGCTGGGAAACAGGGGGAAGGCTGAATGCAAATTTCGGCTGAGGGCAAACCCTTTGGACCGTTTGCTTCTCATTGTATGCGTGTATTACCTACTTCATAAAATGTGTAGAAGGAACAGAGACTCCCAAAATACATTGATTACCATTTTCAGCTGTTATCCTCGCTCCTAAACTCGTTTGACTGCTGTCTTTCGATGACTGTGCAGAGAGGAATCCTGCTTCCTCCTTGGGGTCGGGGCCGGGGCGAGACGGGCTTTCTTTAAGGCCCTGGCAGGTAGTGCGGAGTGGGTGTGCTCGGTGTGTGTACCTCCAGCACTCGCTGTGATCTTCAGCTGTTTGTCCTAAAAGCGGCAGCCCTACCATCCATCGGGATGAGGAGAGGGTGTAGGAGAGACCTCTCCCTGAGGCTGAGTCGTAGGTTCCCCGTTGCTGATCGTTTACCGGGTGGGGAGGACTGTGCTAATGAGCTGAAGTTGCCATGGCGGGTGTGATACTAGGGTTAAGGCGATGTGGGCGTGGGCGAGCTCTTATTGCCTTTGAAATGCGTCTCCCCCTTGGAAGAAGTTCGGAGGCCGAGAATGGTCTCTGCAGAGCTCTGAGACTGGGACATTACCGCAGCCCTCAGGACCGTTTGCACTAAGGCCTGCGGCACGTATTCAGAAACTGAAGGGGAACCGCTAATTGGGATCCCCCCTCAAATTTCATTCTGCTTTTCAGAGTCTTGCTCACAAAGGCGCCTCATCCACTCAGATAAATACAAAACAAAAGCTCCGTCCCTTCCTTTCTCTGCAACCCTCTTGTAGACGTGTGCTTTCCGAAGCTCACTGAGAGGCTGCCGAGGACATGGGTTGACAGACATGGGTGTGAGCACACCGGTGACACTGAGAGGTCCCAGGCCCGCTGCGCGGTCCCTGAGGAGACTGTCCCTGGCGAGTTCCTGGGGGACAGGCAAGAGAGCAGAGCTGGAACAGAGGCCCTTACTTTTATTCTGTGCGATACTGATTTCCCACTTGCTGTAACTAATGTATTTCATTTTAAAACAAATATGGTCAGGTAATAAAATGAGCTGGTGTTTAATTGACATTCTAGATAGAGACAGAGGCAAATGAAATCTTGCACGGATGCTCATTCAGAGCGGGAGCCCACTGGCACCGACAGACGCGTCTCAGATCTGTCAGCGTCAAGACCGTTTAATTTTCTTAAAGCAAATTAGAATGGTGTAAGTAAGACAGCAAGGTCTTTCTTTCTCCGAAACATAAAGGAAGCCACAAGATACCTGGTCGGGCTGGGGTGTGACCTCTCTGAAGTGTGTTGGTGTCCCGGATACCTAGCACACCTCCGTACTGTGCTGACACATGACACGTCTTCACGGATCAACGTGGCTGTGGGAGTGCCAGCCATTGCATCAGCGTCAGCATCTCAAGCTAAGCAAAGGTGACAGTGGCAAGGTCTTTAGCTGGGAAAACTCATTCTCAGCAACCTTCCTAAAAACTTCTGTCAACCCTCCTTCTCACTCGTGTCTTGTTGGTCAGAGTGTGATCACATGGCTACCCGGACCTCACAGGAATTCACAAAGCCAGTTATACAGACCTTGTGAACAGGTCGGAGTCACTGCTGTACCCCAAGCCAAAAGAGCAGACTGGACTCCCTGGGCAGTTGCAAGGTCTACTCCAGCAGCTTCTGCGGAAGTGCGGTGGGATTTCTAACAGACCGATGAAGAGACTGTGTGCAGCCTCTCACCGTAGCCTTTGCAATCCCAAGTTTCCATGGAAACCCACCTTAGCATTGTGTGAGCAACTTAGGGGAATGTTTGTTATGGTGCAGGTGGAAGGCAGATGCAAAGGCAGCAACCTCAGGGTGGCCTTTTGTCAAA